AAGCTTTTTTTAGTTGTTAATTTTTTAGTTATATTACTACATATTATATTGTGCCTTATGTTGAGGTATTTCAATGGACTGTATTTTCATAATTGGAGTGGCAATAAGCATTCATCTTTGTTTTTTAGTAGAGGGGTGATGAGCTGTTACGTTTATTTAGAAAAAGGCCCGCTTTAGTTTAAAAAAAATATATATATCCCAGATGTCCCAGCATCAGGCAGGCACTTCAATCCAGCTTACATCAAAATTTGTAAATATTAATCCTTAGTGTGTTTCTCATTTCATGCAATAATAATCTGCTAATACAGTACAGCCACTGTACCAAAAGAAGCAAGCTGACTGTGCTGTGTAAGTAGAGAGAAAGCTGCTGGCTTTAGCTTTAAAGGTTAAGACAACGAGCTCAAGATATTTAAAAGTTGTCCCGGGATGGGGAGCTTTAAACCTGTCTGTAAATGTAAATTGTTTATGTTGAGTGCTGAGCCTCAGAGACAAACTGCTATTTTCCTCTTAGTTTGCTAAATGAAAAACATTTGAAATACATTTCATGTAAGACAAAAATGCATTAAAAAGCAGAAATATAATGTATATTTTTTGGCTTGTTAAAATAAAATGGTTATCCAACAGAACCAACCACTCTGCCATTTTAAATTTGTTTCACGTCTTGTGCTTTTATGATTGATTAAACTGCTTGCTTTTATTATTCTGCTGTGTACAGTGTCCTTGAGTGTTCTCAAAGGCACCTCCAAAGAAATTGTGTTATTATTATCTTTTCTCTATACATGACAACAGGAGCACACGTTTGGACAACATGTGTAGTTAAATTAGACAATGACTGCCAAAACACATTAGTAAATATAACACATTGTAGAAAAATGTTTATCAAAAGTCTGAAGCAGACTAAATGGACAAAACAAGTTCATATTTAACCAGGTTTTATTGTGCACAGGAAATACGTACAAAAGCCAATGAGGGGATGTAGCAAGGGTCTCAGACGTCGAGGCACTGAAGCAGAGGTGGTTAGGTGCAGAGCTGTGTTGCAGATGACTGATGTCATCAAATAATTTGTGTGGCATCTTATTGAATGCAGAACACCTGATTGTTCTGTAAACAGTTTGAAATTGTTTTGTTTTTTTAACAAAAGGGCAAAAAGTAAATGGCTGCAAATAACATTGTTTGCAAAACTTATGCATACAATCTTAAAATTGACAATTTATATTTGCATTTAAAATTATGAAACATGATTCAATAAACATGTTTGTGGTTGTTACAGTAAAGAAATATAGATTTTTCTACTCAGATTTGATCTAAATTCAGACAAAAAAAACCATACATTTTGTTAATACAGTATGTCAAAATTAAAATATAACTGTAAATTCAGACACGTGAGGTTGTGCTGAAAAGAATGATACCAAACAAGGCAAAGTAAATAGTTTTTACAGGGAATATGTAGAGATCAAATCAAAAGTACTCAAAAATGGTGATTTATACCCTGGACCCCAGAGGGTTAAACATTTTTCTTAAAGTAACGCAATAGTTACTTTTCAAGTAATTAATTACTTTTAGAATCTTGTAACTAGGTTACTAACTCAGTTACTTTTTTCCAGAAGTAACTAGTAACTCTAATTTCTTTTTCAAAGTAACTTGCCCAACACTGGTAAAAGGTGAGGTTTCAACCTGGTGATTCCAAGAATCCAGGAGTGACGAAAGGCGAGTCCCGTGAGTAGTGGCATTTCCAAGAAGGGGTTTGCAAGCAGGTTTGGAGATTCTTACCAGGTGCAGCCACTGTTTATGAGATTAAACATAGGTGAGGTTAATCAGATGCAGGAAAACTAACAACCAAAGAAAATGAGGGTACATGCAAAGCAAGGAACAACAAAAAACTCCCGCAAGCCGCAAGGAGGCTGTGAGGTCATTGACAAACTGACAGGACGGCGCTGGCCTTATGAGTCAGCTGCTGAGTGCTGTTGATGGATTACAGGTGATAGAAACAGGTGAACACCCAGAGCTCCACCCACATGGGCGGACACAGTAAACCACAGGATTCAAGCAGAATAATACCAGATACACTTGCATCATGACAATATTATTGCAGAACTGATGATTTGTGGTCTAGAGGCTAAAGCCATTTACTTTACAGCTCTAATTGCCGCATTTTTCATATGATGTGAAGTTCAAGATAATAATACATAATTAACGTAGAGCTTCAATCAATGTCTGAAACAACTGAATTCTATCAGTGAACACATTATTGTACTCTGACAACTACAGCACTGTTTTGTATTTGGTGGATAACACTGTCTGTTCCAGTACTGATTTCTCTTCTTGTTTAGCATCTGTGGGTGGTGCATGTAAATATTGTGTACATGCAGAATACATCAGGGGTAGAGTGATAAATTTGATCCTGAGAAACTTTTCAATCCATACCACAAGATTTTGGAAAACTAAAGAAACTAACGTTGCTTCATTAATATGACAACATGTAAACACCATTAGTTTTTCCACATTTCACCACCCATAAGATACAATGGCAAGTGTTAACAAATGACTATATTAAAATTATTTTCAAATAAAAGGAATCGTGGCTAGAAGGAGAAGCTTGCATCAAAATGTAAGCAAAAAATGAGACTTTTCATATTCTACATCTTGAAAGATTACCCAATGTGCACTTTTTAATGTTTTCTTCAGTAAATTATTATAAAAATCAAAGATGAAACATTCACCGTACCAATTCTTCAAATAAAAACATGAAGTAACTATAAATGGCGCTTACAGTTACCACGTGGATGCAGGCACAGAGAATACCGGCATGGCCAGTGAAGATGAGGCAGAACCAGGTAGCTCCAAACAGAAGGCAAACCATGTTATACTCACAAAGAAAATGGCGGCTCAAAACACTCCAGGTAAATGACACCCAGCTGAAACACTTCACGAGTTGCCCGAGATTCACATAATTTACAGAAAATGTAAGGACGATAAATGTCTCATTATGAGATGAGATTTTGGTCATGTCGCACATCCCTAATTGCACTTTCTACATGAAAGTATCTCAGAGGCTCAGTGCTCAATATCAACCCTTTCTATGAGTGTAAAAGCCTGAAAACCTGACTGTGTAGCCCAGAGGTGTTTGAATATTTGTTTTATGCGTACATTCACAAACAGCTCAGAAGCTGCCTCTTTTCAAAGGATGTATTCATATCATTATTGAGCTCCTTGTCTGTTGTATAACAGTTTAAGAAAACATCTTTCTCTCTACTTGAAATTAAAGGAGATAAGAGTCTGTTGAATTTCTTTTTCTTTTTTTGGAGTTGCAGTGGATGATTAAGACTTGCTTCATGTGGTTCATTGCTTCAGAGCTATAATTTTTAAATGGGTCAGCAGGACTGGCGGCAGGCTGAAGTGGGGGGCTGGTGCTGTGGCTTTTGGATGTTTTCAGAGTGTTTTGCATGTGAACTGCCACATGCAAAACATGTGAGAAATCTTTTGTGGGATCAAGTGTTGTGACTGCAAAGTTGTCAAGTTCATGCATGTCACATAATATACTCCACCTTTTGGAGTAGAAGAGCTAGGAGGGTGGAGGGTATGGACTGCCCTCAGAGCACTCAGAGCCCTCAGAGCACCAAGCCAATTGACAGAAACCCAGCGATTCTCTTTGAGTAAGCTCTTGATTTCTCCTTCTTTCCTAAATTAAAAAAAATCTCACACTGACCACCCCTCCTCTTTGAAACATCAGTAATGCTTTGTGATGGTGACAGGTAGGAGGGGTTGAGTAGGCTTGTAGGGTACAATTTGTATGAGCGAGATGCAATGCAAAGTCAACCTCTTACATATAGAATTTCTTGATATGTATTCAGTGAATATCTGCTCTATGTAGTGAACAGAAAACATACCAGATCTTAAAATGTGGATTTGGTGTTGTGTAGTATTTGGTCTGGTTAGGTTGACCACTCATTGCTAGGTTGGCTTCCCAGCCCCTTTATGTGCCGCAGAGTCCACAGACAAGAAACAGAAGCCCAACTCACTCCCAGTTTTTTTTTTATAAGGTGTTACACAAAATGAGACCTTTTACTATTGCAATTTAACTGACTAACCATCAAGCAGGGGGTCTTTGGAAATAAAAATCAGATCAGACAACTTATTACAGTATGTTTAACTGAAGCCAAAGTAAAAACGTTTTATTCATATTCATATCGTCAATATTTTCCAAGTTTCAGGCTAACTAGCTTTGAGCATGAACATCATGGGATACATTCTAGTTTCAACAACAAAACTGCACCAGTATATCTACTACATAGAGCAACATAAAAGAAGAATTGGTACAGTGAATGTTTCATCTTCATATTCTGAAATTTAATGTTTGAGAATAATGCATTTTGTCATCATTTCAGTTTATTTTGAAAAATCTCAACAGGAGCTTCAGCTTTATTGTGAAAGGTTCATGTGGAAAATAAATAAGCAGATGGCGGAGCTACACGCTGGGTTTACTATTGTTATTGCTAACAAACCAATGAATAAAAACAGTCACTTATCCTTCTGTATTGTGGTTATTTTAAATATAAGAAAAAAAGAGAGTTTTAAGAAGTTAATGTAGCCACTACGTGGACCATCAAAACGATGAAAAAATATTGCCGTAAACAGTTTATTTTGCGACACCACGAAACAAATGATAGCGTATGATATTAAACTATAAATGTTTTCATATCATTATCCGATATATATCGTCATATCGAACAGTCCTAAGTGCAATTAGCAGTTTTACAAAATAGAAATAAAAAGACAAAAAATAAATAAATTGTCATCCAAAGTACAAATATACAGTGAATTTTTTATTTTTGTTAAGATACAAATACACAAAGGGTTTTTTTTCATTTACAGAGTACAACATGCACAAACAATGGAGAACACATAGTTTAAAAATGTTATAAAGTCTACCACTGAATTCATACCTATTTTTACCAAATTTTTTAATAAACGGTAATAGCTTATTTTTCTGTAGCTGACTGGTTTACTTCATTTTGTCTAACTTCCACTAAAACTATCACTGAAATTCACTGAAAGTATAAAAGTATAAAAAGACTTTTTCACACATGCAGTAACACAAATATTGCGTAAGATTATGAGCCTTAAACAAATACTATTCATTAAATTTTTTAAAACATGTGCTCTACACAGCATATCGGAGATTTTTTCAGTAAACATTTTGTATTATCATATGCAACATACATACAATCCAAGAGTAGCTCAAACAGACTTCATTTTCCTTGTAGCTCTTTAAAAATATTAAAATACATAATTATACATGCAATTTACTATATTAATGTGTCACATTTCATTATGATTTGTTGTAAAATTTCAATATTGTGCAATTACAGGTTGACAAAAGTGATGAAAATAGAAGTTCAAAGCCCAAAACAAAAAAGTCTTTGAGAGTGCACACATTGTCTTGTGAACTGTTAACTGCAGCATGTATTGGATGTTCTACAGCATGTTCTCTCATCCTCTACAGCATCTGTAGGTGGTGCACAAAGTAATTCCTCCAATGACAAGGAGTGCTCCAGATACCCATCCCAAATATATAGAAGCTCCCAGCTCTCCTTGGCTTCCTGTTGTGGCCACAGGATTATAAAACCCTGTGATGATGCTGTAAGCCGACCAGGTGACAGGAATAATACACACGATCCCTGCTATGATAAACACCACACCTCCTGCAATGCCGGCATTGGATTTGGTCAGTTGGTCATAATCAAAGAAAGAAGTGCATCGAGCTCCAACCACTGTGAGCCCGATGGCCACCACGCTGACAGCAATAGACACGCAGATTAGAGCCCTGGAGGCTTGCAGCTCTTGTGGTAAAGCCAAAACCGAGTCATAGTTTTTGCATTGTGACTGACCCGTGCTCTGGAACACACAGTTCATCCATAAGCCTTCCCAAAACACCTGAGCAGTGATGATGTTTGACTGTATAAATGCCGACACCTTCCACATGGGCAGTGCACAGATGAGGATGGTGCCAAGAAAACCGAGGATTGCCAAACACACACCAACGAGCTGAGTCTTCATGTTTTCAGAAAATAAAGTCTATATTTAAAGTAAAAAAAAAAAAGACATCAAAATCAACCTCCAGTTGAGTTTAAGATCATTTTTACTTCCAGCTTTCAGTTGTCTGTAAATGCTGCTGGTTGGGTTTTGCTTTGTTGTTTTGCTCCTCAGGTATGAGAAAGGCAACAGGGAGGGGACGGTGTTCTGTGGCAAGTTTCCTGTTTGTCTTGATTCCTGCTTGACCTGAAAAACTAGTAGAAGGCCATTAACAGAAGCAATTGTGTATAAAAACTTGCTTTGTCATTGCAAAGAATAAACAGATTGCTCATTTAAACCAGCAATATAGAGACTGCAGATTTCATGATGTATACTTCTTGTATTTTAAAGTACTTTCACATATTACCAGAATGCATGAAAAACTAGACCAGTATCAAATTACTGATGCATTTTTCTGAATATTTCTTGGCACTTAAATGTTTTAATCTTACTAAATAAACAAAGCCTATGTTAGCTCATGACCTCTTTCTACAAAATCAAGTCAGCAAGCAAAACTGGCAGACAGACACATCACAGGCCCCTGAAGATTTTTTTTTAAATCTATATCAGATAGGATGTCGCCTAGTAACCACATAACAAGGTAAAATTGTCAATTTAGGACTTTATGCACCAATCACATAAAGTCCCAAAGCACAATATTCGAACCTGTAGCCACAAAGCCTTCATTACATGACATGTTACCTAGCAACCAGCAATTAAAAGCAGACCAAACACTCCAGCATCAAACATACCAGTTGTATGTCAGACGGGCCAGTTAGATTTTTAGCTTATTTTGTACTACTGCCCCCCCTTCAAATACAATATCAATTCAAGTGCACCTCATGAATTTATAGCGCATTTTTGCTGATTCTGGTTTGGCATTTGTTGCCTTTTAGTTTAAATTCTGCAAGACAATTTGCACACGGTTAGCTGCCTTCTAAATTCCTAGAGTTAGAGTTTTAGTTGTGAGCTGGAGTGTAAAGTCTACCATGTTTGCTAGAAAGTGCAGTCTACAAAAGCAGCCTTTTACTCATTGAAACCCTCCACTAGAGCCAAGTTTAAATTTATAATATTAAAAAATAAAAATAGGGGGAAAAGAAAAACGCAACCATAGTCAAGTTAGTGAATAGAGTTTTATTAAATCAAAAGTAAAGTAAAAGCACCTAAATATTTAGTCCATAAAAACAGCCTAGTCCATTTCTCTTGAGGGTGACAGTCTACAGCCGTTCCAACCTCTTGCAGACATTTAAACATATGCTCCACCACCTGTTGCAGTGCGTGGAGCAGAGTATTTGACAGAGTAGCCACCATCTTTAGGCTGCTTGCACTGACAACAAAGGAGTGCACCTCCAATGATCAGGAGTCCAGATGAAGCCCAGCCAATGAACAGCGATGCTCCAAGCTCTCTCCTCTGTCCGTCAGACATGATTGGGTTGTAGAAGTTCCTGATGACCTCATTAGCAGACCAGGATACAGGGATGAGGCACAGGATGCCACCAACAATGAACACCACCCCCGCAGCAATGGCCACCTTACTCTTGGCAGTCTCCTCTTCAATGCAGTTGGTGCACTTTCCGCCTGCGATGGCAAGCAGGAGTCCCATTAGGGTGACCAAGATGGAGATCACAACCAGAGCACGGGCTGCCTGCAGGTCTTGAGGAAGAGCGAGCATGGAATCGTAGACCTTGCACTGCATCTGGCCAGTGCTCTGCATTACACAGTTCATCCAGAGACCCTCCCAGAAAACTTGTGCTGTCACAATGTTGTTTCCAATGAAAGCAGACACCTTCCACAATGGCAAAGCACATGTAATTATGTCTCCAGAAAAGCCAATCACTGCCAAAATGATGCCCAAGATCTGAAGTTCTGCAGATGCCATACTGTCTCTTCTGGCACAACAGAGAGCTGTGAGAAAGAATCAACTGGAAACACAACAAGACAACATGACTGCCTCAACTGCAGCTTTTATATCCACATGGGAGGCTCGTGGTTTCTCCTGATTGGTTATTCAGAAGTGTTCAAAGTGAAAACACCTGTGGTCATTAGGACTGACCTCCTGCCCAGTGATAGCTGGCATATGTCCCAGATCCCCTCCAACCCATTTTCTTATGATAAGCCAATAAGAAAATGGATGAATGTTTGCAAAAGTGCTGTGAAAACTGAAATGAAAAGAATGTTTAGAATAAAAATCTTCCACCTAAATTAATGTCTTTTTCATTATTTTTTTGTGGGTGTTTTTTGTGAGGCTATGATTTCACTCAGACAAAAGTAGCAGTTTTACCAAGAACATAACAATGAGAAGAAGAGTGATTTTAAAGATTGCATTTTAATATTGACTTTAGTATCTCGTGTAACAATATGAGATCATAATGATTGCTTTTGGTTTTACATCTGATTTCATTTTCTTTTACCAGTGCAGCAATCAAGCTGAGTGAGTCCACCTGTGGTAATTAGGCGTGAGGCATTGGCTTGGGGGAAAAAAACAAAAGAAACAAACAGTATTAAATTAGACATGCACCACGTTGGTTGTTTCTCAACCTGTGATCCTCCTTGGTATGGTTGGTTTCTCTTTTAATGAGCCTATCTTATCAGGTAATGGGTTTTAATAGTTTTCTTACTTTCTTTCTCCAGAGGCAATAAAAATGTTTACCCTTCTTTAGAGTCGCTGCTCAGACATTTGAATTTTTTTTTTTATTAAACCTAACATGATGTGGTTGGGTTTGTGCATCATTCCATATATTTAAAATTAATTAAAAATAATTCCCCCTTGATTTGCACTGTTAAAGCTTCTTTTCTTTCTCTGGGCTCTGTTTGGGGACAAGTGGGCCTCTTTGTTGTCAAGAAAACCTCTGAAATCAAATGGAGCGTGATTGATGCAGTGGAGCCAGAGCCCACCCAGAGGAGGGCTGTATTCTGGGGGGATTTGTAGGTCATATAAAACTTCTGCTGAGAGTGGACTCTTATTTGGAAACCCTGCAAAGAACTGACTCGTCTAAAAAAAGGGGGGGAAAAAGCTGTTATGCCTTCTTTAGGGTTGCAGATTCTGGGTGTTGGGCTGGCTGTGCTTGGATGGATTGGAAACATACTGATCTGCATGCTGCCCTTGTGGAAGGTATCTGCTTTCATTGGAAATAACATTGTGGTGGCTCAAACCATCTGGGAAGGACTCTGGATGAGCTGTGTGGTGCAAAGCACCGGCCAGATGCAGTGCAAGGTCTACGATTCCCTTTTGGCCCTGCCTCCAGACCTGCAGGCAGCTCGAGCCATGATCGTCATCTCTATCCTGTTTTCTTTGTTTGGCCTGCTGCTTTCTGTGGTTGGAGGTAAATGCACCACTTGTGTTGGGGACAAAATGGCAAAAGCCAGAGTTGCTATCTCTGCAGGCTTTTTCTTCATCCTGAGTGGGGCTCTGTGTCTTGTGACTGTATCACTGCCTGCTAATACCATCATAAAGGACTTTTACAACCCCATGGTTCCAGATGCTCAGAGGAGAGAGCTGGGTGCCTGTTTGTACGTGGGCTGGGGTGCAGCAGGGTTACTACTGATTGGTGGTTCACTTCTCTGTTGTCAGTGCCCAGCAGGAGACAACCGCTACAGTGGTGCGAAGTACTCGGCACCTAAATCAACAACACCCGGGAAGGAATTTGTCTAAGATTATATTGCATTACATGAGAAGTGGATGAGCATGACCTCTTTCACAAAGAGTACAAACCTGTTTCTTATCACAGTGTATGCATAGTGCAGGTGTAACTAACACTATGGCCTTTTGTCTGTCAAAGTGTGTGTGATGTTAGATTACTGCAGGATTGGTGTGCTGGGTTTTTTTTTTCTAACTCCTATATTAAAGTTCTTTAAGTGATTTTTAACCAATAAACTGTTTATTGCCACATGTAATTTTTTAATTGTAGTTATTCTGCTTAATTGACTAAGATGTTTTGGGATCTGATTCCCCACCACCATCAGCAGATCGACCCCTCTGGTAGTTGTTTTTACAATTCAGACTTGGTTTTCAAACACAACTCGTGATAATACTTAATTTCCCAAAAATATTAAAGTTAAGATAAATTCTGCATTGCTTTTACTTTTGAATGTATACACCACTTTGCCAAACTTTTTTTTTTGGTGGGGGGCTGTTTTTAAATTTGATGGTACTGCTACTTTTACTTTATCCTCTTGCTATCTACCAAGAGGCCAAAACTGGTCCAGGAACAGTGTTTATAAATCACAGTGATGTGTTTGTGTTGTCCTCACTGGTTTCAACTGAGAATCAGGGAACAAAAAAAAAACCCCATTCAGGTGGTTCAGGATATATCGTCTTTCCAAGACTTGGCAGATGTCCTCTTACTGGGCAAAGTGTAAATATCCATTCTTTAGAGGTGAAAAGGGGTTCCCTTAGTAACACGAATCTGAACAACAGACTGTCCATTTTACTGAAGACAGGAACTGTAAATTCCTGTCTTTACTACACGGCCAATTTCCTAGGAGTCTACTCCCTTGAATTCTTGAACGCTTTGTCATTAGAGGTTACTAAGAAGTAGCTTATAGTTCCAGTTTGGGTTACAATGTGTCTGTACTCTGAGTTCCAGGAAAGAAGGAGGAGCTGCATGAACAAAGCTTTGTCTTTTTGGTACTTAAACCCTGTAACACCAAGTGTGTCACATTTGATGCACAAGTTTTACAGACCTCGACGTCATCAGTGGGATCTTTTTTTTTCAAACCCTAAGTCACTCATGTTTTTGAGCTAAACTGTGAACAATACAACTTAGACATTATATGCAAGTTGGGTTTCTTTTTTCATTTGTCACAAGGTTCAATAAGGTTCAGATAAACACTCCCACTTCAAAAGGTTCAAATTTCCTGGCAATTGAAGGCTCATTGTCCATTATTAGTGGGAGCTTTAAAAAATTCTGCATACAATCAAGTCCATTTCTCTTCACATGCAACTTACAAGATATATATGACAAACTTGGTGGTATTCATGCAAAACATTTATTTGTGAAAAATACACATTTCATCTAAAAATAGCATTGACATTCATTCAGTAACCTAAAATATACTTTAAAAAAGAATCAAGATATGATCAAGGCATGTATGAAACCTATTAAATGTAGTAAAATGTGATCTGTTTTATTTTTTTTTTTATCTGCCTTCAGCCTTCAGAATTGTTCGAGTACACTGCTGTGCCTTTTTATTAGCATTGTAGCTGAGACACTCACACATAGTCAACATTTGAAGATATGCTTCTTACAGGTGTGAATTTGGCAGGTATGTAGGGTCTGCCACCAACTTTTGGGGGACAGCTGCTGCAGAGAAGACCACCTCCCATCAGCAGCACCGCAGCAGAGCACCAGCCTATGTAAAGTGAAGATCCAAGCTCCCTTCTTTGAGCCTCAACCAATAGGGGGTTATAAAAGTCGCTGATTACTGCATGAGCTGACCACGATACAGGAATCAAGATCAGCAAGGCAGTTATTATGAATATCACTCCAGCCACGATGCAGGTTTTAGCTTTGGCCACGTCATCCTCCATGCAGTTGGTGCATTTTCCTCCGATCACAGCCATGAGGATGCCGAATATCCCAACAATCACAGAGATGATCACCATGGCCCTGGCAGTCTGCAGGTCCTGAGGCAGAGCCAGCATGGAGTCGTACATCTTACACTGCATTTGCCCCGTGCTCTGGACCACACAGCTCATCCACAAGCCTTCCCAGATCACCTGGGCTGTGACGATATTCGCCCCCACGAAAGCGGTGACTCTCCACATGGGCAAACCGCAGGTGATAATGGCGCCCAGCCAACCAAAGAAGGCCAGTAAAACACCCAAGATCTGGAGGCCCTGAGAAGCCATGAAAATGCTGCTGTAACAGATTTCTACGCAAAATTCAAGAAATAAGAAAAAGTTGGCACCACAGAAAATTGAACCACACTCCAGTCTTGTATGTGCTGCAGATACACCTGCCTGATGATGGATTTGCTGTGGTCTAATGTTCCTGTGCCTAGCTGTGAGAAGATAGATGCTTGCTGCTGTGTTTCAGGGTGGAGTTTCTGTGTCCTCAGACAAAGCGGGAAACTGGAGACCTGATATCCACAGACCTTATTCTCTAGCTTCCTTCATTGTCCTCACACAAACAAGCTTTATTCAGTCGTTCAAGACTTCAACAGTGGGAACAACAGTGCTATCAGATCCTCAGGTGTCCTCACACAAACACGCACACTCTCTCTACACACACACCTACAAACGTGCATGCACACAAAGGTAAGGTCAGTCTCTGAGCAAAAACAAACTCGTACGAGAAGCTTCTTCAGTTCTGGGGTCAAATGGTGGCCCTGTGGGTGTGTCCCTCCAAAGAGGGACAATGGAGCCTCTGATGATCCTCTACCTCTGACCCAGTATGAACCTTCCAGATCCCTCAGGTCATCTGGATCCGGTCTTTTATCAGTTCCCAGAGTCAGAACCAGACACGGAGAAGCTGCATTCAGCTTTTATGCTCCATATATCTGGAACAAACTCCCAGAAAGCCTCAGATCAGCTGAAACACTCAGTTTATTTAAATCCAGGTTGAAGACTCACCTGTTCTCAGCTGCATTTGAATGAAGCACCAAATCCACACTTTTAAGCTTAAATTTCAAAACTTACATTTAACTACTGATTTTATCTACTGTTCTGATTTTATCTGTTTTGATTTTATATACTGTATTGTTTGTTTGTTTGTTAATTAGTTTGTTTGTTTGTTTGCATGTTTTAATCAATTTTAAATCATGCTTTTTATTTGTTTTTGTTTCTAATGTCTTTGTAAAGCACTTTGAATCACCTTGAAACAATCAGCCAAGGTTTCAGGTGAGCTAATTGTGAAACCTGGCCCCACCCTTTCATGTGATTTCCTGTGGTCAGATGGCCCAGGATGTGAGTGGGCGTTAAGGCATCTGGGAAGGGATCTCAAAACTGGATTATAGATGGCAGAGAGTTGGTGTCGTAAACCACCGCCTCTGTTCAAAGATGGTCACTCACAATGAACAATGATGGCTTCTTTCACTCCTCTTTCAAACCATCTGTTTTCTCTGTCCAGAATGTGAACATTGGCATCATCTAAGTAGTGACCTTTGTCCTTTAGATGCAGATGGACCGCCGAGTCTTGTCCTGTGGAGGTGGCTCTTCTATGTCTTCAAGCAACTCCAGACGCTTTTCTTTCCAAGCTCCTTAGACTACGATGACCTGGATGACTGAAAACCTTCACAGACCTTCACAGACATAAATTAAGAGCTGACTGTAGCTCAGGTGGTAGAGCAGGTCAGCTACTAACCAGATGGCTGGTGGTTCAGTCCCAGGCTCCTCTAGTCTGCATGCCAAATATCCTTGGGCAAGATACATCCATCGGAGTGTGAATATCTATGAATGTTATGTAGTAAACACTTACAAAATGTGATTGGCTGAATGAATTAGTTGTGTAAAGTGCTTTGAGTGCTCAGATAGAGTAGAAAAGCGCTATATAAGAACTGTGGATTGTTTTACACTCCAGAAATGTTTGCTTACTACAAGACTTTGTTTCTTTTAAAATATTTACTCCCCTAACAAATAAAACTTGGTTCTGTGACTACATTCAAAGTCCAAATACCTTTGTTGTAGGTTCACAGTTTAACCAGACAGGCCGGTTTCCAGCCAGTATTATGCTTGCCACACCCAAACCTGTTCAACCAGAAAGTTGGAGAATGGTTGCTTCTCACATACTGTGACGTTTGTTTTTTAAGCATCCTTGTTTTGATTATGCCGTGTTACATAATGAACATGTATGTTACAATTAATATACATTAAAAATGTGTCAAACGCACAATAAAAAGAGTATGGATACTGTAAATACACTGTTTTTAATGTTAGAATTTCCTTTAAATGTGATTGTGGGTGACCACTGAATGAATCCTGTTGAACACAAACATTGAGTGGAAACAAAAAAACAGTAACACATATTCTCAGATTTGTAAACAGTAAAAATATTTATTTACAGTAGAAGTGGTGCATTGAGAATTTTGTATACATAGTTCTGAAAAACAATCTACAAGCACAGGAGCAAAAGTGAACATTTTAAAAAGATACATAAGCATATGGATATACTAGACTTGTTAGCACTTACACAACATAGTACTTTTGACACAAACACACACACACAGCTGTAGACTATGTAGACTTGGCTGTGGTTCCTTTCTTGGTGTTAACATCATCTCAAAACACTCCAACACTCTCATGAGGAGTCACGTTTCATCAAGTAACCTGAATTACCAACACACACAACCCATAAACTCTGGTGCATCTGTCCCAGTAAATATTTCAGACGTAGCCTTTCCCAGATATTGGTGCTGAGGCATCAGACCTAGTGGCAGCTGTGTACCTTGCATTGTAGGGTTCTTTTTCTTTTTTGGGGCAGCTGGCACAGAGTAATCCCCCTCCGATAAGCATCAAAGCAGAAGCACCCCATCCGATATACAGCGAGGCACCCATCTCTCTCTTCTGGGCCGCATTCAGAAGAGGGCTGTAGAACTCCTGGATAATAGTGTTGGCTGTCCAGCAGACAGGGACAAGGCAGAGGACCGCAGCGATGATGAACATAACCCCAGCTGCGACAGCCACTTTATCTTTTTGCTGTTGATCCTCCACACAGTTGGTGCATCTTCCTCCAGCTACAGCGAGCAGAATAGCCATGACGCCTACCACAATGGAAATGATAGTCAGGGCCCGAGCACCCTGGAGGTCTCCGGTGAGGGCGAGCATGGAGTCGTAGACCTTGCATTGCATCTGGCCTGTGCTCTGGACCACACAGCTCATCCAGATACCTTCCCAGATGACCTGTGAGGTGACAATGTTGCTGCCAATAAAAGCAGTGACCCTCCACATGGGAACAGCGCACACAACGATGACTCCAATCCAGCCAATGATCCCCAAGGCTGCACCCAGCATTTGGAAGCCAGCAGACACCATTTTGGTCAGATTTGTTCTTCAAGCTGCTTCAAATTAAAGTCCTTTCTCTTTTCAGAGGTTGCTGATAAAGCTCTGAGTGCGTATCGACGTTCTCACTGTGGAGTGATACAGGCTGTTGAATATTTGTTTCTTCCTTGCGATGAAGTCGAGTTTTCTGCCAGTCAGACAAGTCTGCTGAATGGGTGAGGAGTGGAGCAGGTACAAATGCCTGATGGAGGAGGGGCAATGGAGAAACAGCGAACTGTCATCAGCACCTGCTCTTCGGGTCCACTCCCTAAATATAAAGTTTCACCTGAACAGGTGAGCCGGTGAGCAGGTGGGTGGAGTGATGTCCTGAATGTCTGGTGACTCAGTCAGTCTGAAATGACAACACCTCTGACCAAAACTTCCGACTAACCAAAAATGGTCATGTGCTCAGTGTTTTTGTTGTGTTACACCTGCGCTGATAATGGATGGCATCCCGCTGGAGTTCTCTCTCAAGTAAATGCACATAAATGGCCTTGCAAAAGACTCTCTGGAAGAACTGTATCTTTCACTTTACAGCATGTCAAGAGGTTGAGGGGGATGGACACAGCTCAGGACTGAGGGGAATATTATTCTTTCACTTAAAGTTAATTCGAATACTTTAATTGATTTTAATATTAAAAGTGTAGTTAAGAGTACAATCATTTGCTTGATTAGGCTTTGACTATGTCCCTAAAAACAATAATGATCAGTTTTAATCTCATATGAGTATTAATAATCTTTGACAGGAAATTATCTTCATCTGCTTTTCCCAAAGTCCCAACGAGAGAGTGATATATTTCCTTATAATTAGTTTTTTAAGAAATCATAAATAACACAAACAGTTTTTTATAAAATACTATCCAGTCATATGCAAGTCGGAGTAACAAGTAATATCACAAACTGCCCACCTCCTATTACCAGTTTTAATTTGCTTTTTATATAAAATAATATATTTATATAAATATCTACTTGTACATACTTGAGAGTAAATTTAAACAGAATTTCTCTTACTACTATATGGCCCACCTGCAGTACCTTCGCAGCCCACCAGGGGCCCCAGCCCACGCTTCGGGAATCCCTGACCTATTTTATTAGATAACTGCATCCAGTGTAAAATACAAAGGTTCAGATAAAGTAAATTAAGTAAATTAAGAACAGTAAAATAATTAAATCATAAATTGAAATGAAAAGAACAAAGTACACCTAACTGTTTGCTCTACATTTGTGTTTGACCTCGAATGAAAAATTAGCAGAAATAACATGTAAGCGAAGTAGTGTAAATCTTTCAAGCACTTACTCTTCACCAAATTCATGAATTACTGGTGTGTGGGGTTTTTTCAAAGAAGTGCACGTAGTGTAGGGTGTCACTTACAGTCAGCATGAAGGAAAACAGGAGATGAACCAGCTCCAGATGTCACTCTTCCACTCTGTTTGCTTTACAGATTGTGAGATTGTTGCCTCTCCCAGTAGCTCAATACTGACGAACTCATATTATCCTATAACATTCTTGTGTGTGATGTGTGATATCTAATCAACCTATGCTTCCATAAACACTTCACAAGACACACCTGTTGTCCTGTCACTTCTGTTTTCTCAAACTGTTCCTGGAGAAAGAAAAAATAATATACAATCTTATTTCTGAACATGTTTGGACACTGTCTAAAATGTCAATAAAACAGATAATGTGATTTGCAAATCTCCCAAACTCCTGTTTTATTCTCTATAGAACATGGGAAACATGTCAAAAGGAAAAAAGGGTCATCCAGCTTGTCAACAGCTCTCAGTGTAAAAGCCAGCATCTCTGAAGGTATGGCAGTGCCTTTGGATATAGTAGCTTTCAGGTGGCATCTTTTTCAGAAAAGGCCTTGCATATTTAACAAAGACAATTCTAAAACGCATATTGCATCTATTACAGCAAAATGGCTTCATAGTAGAAGAGTTTTGAACTGACCTGCCTGCAGTCCAGACTTTTTACCAGTTAAAAATATGTGGAGCATTACGAAATGAAAAGAAGACCCAGAATGAATAAACTGTTAGTCCTACATCAGACAGAGATGGGAACACTGTGCTCTCCCAAAAAGTTCAGCAGGTGCTTACCTTATTTCCAGATGTTTACACACTGCTGTTAAAAGAAGAGGCAATGCTACAAACTGAGATATGTTGCTTCAAAATCAGCAAATATATTTCCTAAAATATTGCATTTCCTTAAACAACTGATGTGTTTTTTATGTTCTATTGGGGGTTTATGAGATTTACAAATCATTTCAGTCTGTTGTTATTTACATTTTACACAGTGTCCAAACTTTATTTTTCAAATAAATATGTGATTTATGAAGTGGGAAAAATATTAAGAAGGCGTACAAACTGCAGGCTGAGGTTGGAGGTGAGAGAAGCTCTGTGAGTGTTCTGAAGCTCATACTGAAGGCCAATTGTAAATGTGAACATACAAGAGCTTTTTGTTTGCTGAAGGTTACAAGAAAAGAGCTTTTGTTGTGTATGAAGCTCATTTAGGGTGAGTGGATGAAGGCATCAAAGAGTAGTCAGTGAGGTGATGTACAACATATTTGGCATGTCTGGATTTTGCAGCTATTGCAGCAAATCAAAGCATTGAAATCAAAGGAGAATGATAAACTCTGTTTTGTCTGCTATGTTTCCCCTTTTATCTGTTATTCCTCGTTGTGCCCAATAGGTGACAGCAGTGTCTATTTTTGTGCTTGTGCATGTATGGCATATGCACACGCAGTTGGTGATGTGAACTCTTTTTCTGCGTAACCAGAATCTGAGGTTGCAGTTAGTAGAAGCAGCCTATTAATTTGAAACTTTGCATTTACAGAAAGTAATATCAACTTTAACCTTTTTTGCGATGCAGTACATTTACTAAGAGATATATGTCTGGAAGATTGTGAAAGTGTGCTATCACCTGTGCTCAAACATCCTTTATTTCCATTTCTTATGTGACCATAACTCTCTAAGCACCCATTAAATGCAAGGCTCCACCCTCCTTTAGAGCATTTATGGCTTTGTAGCCAACGTTCTGCTTCTAGAACAGAAGAACAGACAACAAAGGCTGCCTGTGGAAATCACCATCTCTCTGTGCACTGAACTGCTTGAAATGAAATGGGATTGACAGTTTGCTGGAAACTTGAAAAATCAGTATATTTGAAAAAAGAATTTTTTTAAATCGCCTAAACATACAAACAGTAAAAATAAAGTAAATGAAGCAAAAACCGTGTTTGTACAGTTCTAACTAGCTTAAAAGTCAATATTTAGTATGTCCACCTTCATTCTTCAGCACAGCCTGAACTCTCTTGGGAAAAGTTCCTTTTAATTTCTTTAGTCTTCAAGAATAATTTCCCAGGTTTCATGAAGGACATTCAAAGCTCTCAATGTTGGCAAACTTTTCTTCCCATTCAAGCTCTGGAGAGGCCAAAATGGCTAATAGTGTGTTTGGAATCGCTGTTGTGCTTAAAAATGAAGCTGCTATCAATCAGACGCTTTCCAAGTAGTACTGCGTGATGGATCACAATCTGACATTTTTCTGCTTTCATGATTGAAGAAATGACTTTCAGATACTGTAACTTCTTTTTTTTGTTAACCACTTGTCCAATTTTCTCATTTCCTCATGCTAACATAAGCCAAATTTCCAATCTTTTAGATGTAAATTTGGTTCTTATTTGAGTTAGGGGCCTGTTTTTATCCTTCAATGATTCCTTTGTAGATATAAAGTGGCTTTACAAAAAAAAAAAAAAAAACATTACTGAAATGTTTTTGTCGTTGAAAATGAGTGAAAAAGCAAACACTGTCCAAAGAAAAACTTGAGAAAGACCTTGGGAAAGTCCAGAGAACTTTTGATCAAAACCATTTTAAAGCATTCAAAGAAATCTGGAAGCAAAAAGAGTGGATGAAGAAATGGCATTAGACTTTTGCAGAGTACTGTATCTCAGTGAGAGCTTGTGATTAATATCTTAATATGAAAGAAGCTTTTTAATGTTTTATATGAAGTAGCGCTGCAGACAGTTCAATCTGTAATCTGGAAAGAGATAAATACTCAGTTAAATATGTTAAATATAAAGTTTTTATCTATTATTTGAAAACTGACTAACAGTTTAAGTGTTACTGTAGGTGAAAGAGGAAAAAGTGCCTCTCATGTTTTCTGTATTCGGGTTACTATGCTCCTTGTGTTGGCAGTGGGTTGATACTCATACAGATATACTATCTGGATTTCCTCTGGTAGTTAACCAAATGATACGGTTGCTGTTTACGCTTGAAATCCCTGTTTACACCCCCTTTAGATATGATGAAGGATCTCAAACACACACAGAGGTGGAAAACACAAAATGCGTAATCCCTCTGTAAACTGAAACTAATTCATCAACTGACAAAACAATCCATTGAAATTATCCACAAAATGTAAATCTGCTTCAGTGAAAATGATATTAAAAAAAATATCACTATTGATAATCATAGACCATTCTCAATAACATATTCAAATTATTTTCAATTGAGATCCAGCTCTCTGAGACCATTTTATGGCAAAATAATATCTAAACTTTCCAGTAGTCATAGTCTTCCTGTTGCTTCTTGGTGAATAATTCTCAACAGGCAGTTCCAGGAACTGGGTTGCATAACTGGCCGATCAAAACACTTGAGTCAGCATTCATGCTTCTAGTTTTTGTTTTGCATCTCTTATCCTGTTGAGTACATAGCACTTGAAGTTGTAGTGTACTGAGTTTAATTAGTAACACAACGCAAGTACAGTATTGATACGATCGTTCTATTTCCCACAAAGGCACAAGCTGGGGTATTACTAGTATTTACAATTCATTCAACAGAAACAAGTTAGCAGAGAAGGATGTAAAAACATTACTGTCACACCAAAATTAGATTCATAATTTTAAAGTGATAAATCTGCTGTTTGGTTTTATATGTGGTTTTTCTTTTGCTTAGTTTTTTTTTTTAAGAAAAAGGCCATCCTCATAACTGAATCACAGATACAACTGACTCTGGATGAGAAACTTTCATTAATTATACTTACAAGGAACAAGGTATTTGAGGCCTCGGTAGGTCGTGTAATCCTTCGTAAGGCAGAACCATGGATTTATTATCTAAAACTACTCCATGTGTATTTAAAGCTTCATATATTAACTAATATCTTTACCAACCTCCGGGAAGACATTTAGATGCTTCTATGTTCAAAAAACAAATTCATTTTTATAACTAATTCTAAAGTGCAGTAACCAGCTTTACGATACTGCTTAGTGCACTCGCAAGATAGTTCTCAATGAATTAGAGTAAATGAAGCTAAATGTCAAAGAAAAAATGTATGTACCCCTCCTTCTACACCAAAAAATATATACTTTACTAGTATTATTATTATTATTTTAGTAGCCACAAGGGGTTACCAGATGGTCACTGACTGATCATTATTCACCAAATGGTTTGAATGTGTGATTAAATTAGAAGTATGCCGTAATGTCTGTCGAGGCAGACATTACACCGAGACTGGGGGCATGAAAAGAGAGACGAGACTAGACTCTGAGACATGGAGACAAGAGTAACTAAACGCGGAACCACAGGGAATGCACAGAAACCAAGAGACTATAAATAATAATGAAAGCATTAATTAATAAAACACAAAACATTGGATCACCGACCCAGGACCATGACAACATCAACTCTCCTTTTATGCAACTTACTTTGTGTCTGCCAAACCCAAAGAAAACTTGTGATGCAAGAATATTCAGAGTAAGTCACATACTGCCCAGGGCTGCAGGACCATGACATAAGCTGCTTATACCTAAATGGCTAACCACCCCTGAGGAAGAACATTCCTACTTACACAGTTTTGCTTTATACCATTGCATTACTGTTGCCTGAAATCAATACCACCGGACTTATCACTTAAGTGACTATCATGGATCACATTTAGTGGGGTAGAAATTTTGTATCTTTCCAACTAACACATCTCTAGTGATCAATCAAGGTTTACTGAGCTAGCATTTTCACTGACTGATGAAACAACATAATTATGGCAAAGTCACCAGATCACCCCAAAATCTTGGATGAATTTGCTTACAGTGCTGTCTAAGAAACTTGGAAAGAAAAGCGCCTGGAATTCTTTAAGTTTCTTGACAACTGAGTGTTTTACTCAGTTTCTTGCAAGTTACTAATCATATCGTACTAATAATAAAGCTGATATTATCTTACAGTTCAAGGTCAGATATGATACTCAAAATAAAACAAGGTCTCACCATAAAGCAAATGAGATACTGGTCCTATGATCAATGATGAACCTTTTTTTTTCACTCCTTCCTTTATCTAATGCCAGCAATCATTGTCAAGTGTTCCTAATCATTTGCTTCTTTTGGCTCTTCACTGTTGATGGTTGTGTATTTTAGCTAATGCTAAAACATTACCAGATAATGAAGCTAAGTATAAAAATGATAACATGAAATATATTATTGAAATATATCAATTTCTCTTTTATCCTTCAGCTGGGATCTGTCCAAAATTGCCACGGCAAGTGCAAGTTGTAGAGACTATAGCAGTAGCCACCACAAATGTTTGAGTATATTGATTATAATGGTATCAGTGAGAAAGCAGCAAAAATGAGTAAGATGCATTCATTAACTTGCACAAATTAATTTTAAAGCCAGCTGATGCTCCAGAAGCTGCAGATGGTCTCTAGTTTGGTGGATTGTTCAGGCAAGTTTGCTTAATGTCAGGTCCGACTACTATCATGCATTATTAGCAGCTACAGTGATGCCAAAAATTTGCCTAGTGGCTTGTGTACACAAAGGATAGATTTGGAGCAAAAGCAAAGAAAGGAAGGAAGCAAGAATAATAACTGCACTATCATATATTTCTTGTTTAAACACGCAAATAAAGACATACAATTGACAATCAGATTTGAGTTGTTGGTTCACTGTATTGTTTCCTTCCCAAATACAACATTATCTTAATAATTGCTTTTTATTATGCTTTATCTTATCGTGGTTTCTGGGTCACCTTTTTTTTGACCGGGAGTGTTTGACAAATATTACAGTTTGATAAAGTGTACACGTATGCAAGACAAAGTGTGATCAGGTAGACAAAAGTATTGAGACACTTTCATGGAAATACAGACTCAGTGACTGATACTAAGAACACAGTAGGTCTCTTCACAATACTTTACTACTCTGTACTTTTGTATAAGTCCTTATTTTCATGTTTTGAAACAAGTACATTTTTGTCACACTTAAATGTTTGTCAAACACAGTTTAATGTTAGGCAAAGATAGCCTGTGTACATACAAAATACAGTTTTTAAATGGTGATGTCATTTATTAAGGGGTGAAAGCTATCTAAACCTTCGTTGCCCTGTGTGAAAACAGAATTTTCCTTCTAAAATAAATAATTAGCTGTGCCACCCTTGGGAGTAAAAACTACAATTGAGCATCTGTGCTGACTGAAAGGGAATTTTTTGCATCGCCATGCAGGAATTTTTTCTCACTCTTCTCAAGCATGAATGGCGTTAAAGGTCATGTCAAAGCATCTCAATCTGATTTAAGCCCGGACTTTGATTGCGCCACTCCGCCGCAGATTATTATAGTTGCAATGGGGATATCAGCAATGAGTTTGACAAAGGTATCGAGACACGGGTCAGTGACTTTTATTAAGAGCCCATTAGGTCTTGTTGTAAAGAAGTCTTCTTCCGCATTATGTAGTTTTTCTGGGTCATCAAAGATTAGAGAAATCCTTATTTCACGTTAAGCACGACTCAGAAGTAATTTACCTCATTCTGTCTGCCTCAGTCCGCTTAAAAGCACAGCACAGTGTAGTATGCTAACCCGAATAAAAAGAGAGACACTGTGCTTACATGTGAACTGTATAACTAAAATTATTTTTCTGCATCAAGCCACTGTTACTTGTGTTACGTGTGATGTTACTGAGAAAAACTTGTTGAAGGTAACACATTAAGAAAAAGAGTTCCTCATAATTCTGCTAATTATTAGCTCTCTGATCAGAGCTGATGTAAGTTAAAGATTTTTCTGTGCTGCAGTGTCTATCTGCTTTAACAAATCACTTCTATCTGAAGATGACTTGTGTGTCCAAGCCCAGTGAATAACAAGTTTACTTGGGACTCAGTAAATTAACTCTACCTGAAATACAGTAAAGACGGTTTATGTTAGAACTTTATCTGCTGTATGGTGACTTTGATTTGCTAGTTATTGGATGGATTATGATGAATGTGGTCCAGATACTCATGTTCCCCTCAGAATGATTTGTAAAACTACAGCAAACTTTTTTTATACATCATCAATTTTTCACTTTAGCTTAGTTAATGATGAGATAACTGTAGATAGATAAGCTATAGATATAAGTCTATGTTTGCTCATGACCTCTTTTTACAAAATCAGGTCAGCAAGCAAAACTGGCACACAGATATATCTCCAGCCCCAACCACACCTTACGCACAATATTCAAACCTATAGCCACAAAACTTGGATTACACGTCATGTTATCTAGCAACCACCCGATTAAAATCAGACCAAACACTGCAGCATCAAACATACCAGTTGCATGTCAGATGGGCCAGGTGGATTTTTAGCTTATTTTGTACCACTGCTTTTTTCCTCTCTTCAAATACAACATCAATTCAAGTGCACCTCATGAATTTAACACTTTGCGTTTTTACCGCTTCTGGTTTGGCATTTTTGTTGCCTTTTAATTTTAACCATAATGGTTAAAGTATATACGCACTTGTAATTTGTGCTTTCAACAATTAAAATTCATTTTAGGCATTCACGACTAATTTTCTGATTAACTATGTTAATCCTGCAACATTACAAAATAACCACATTAACAGTGCAATAATTTAAAATACAGTAAAATAAAATGGAAAAATAAAATACTATAAATGAATACATGCTGCAAATACTGTACATACAAATGCAGTAAAAAAATTACTGCAAATTAGATTACAGTAAATAACCATTAATTAAATTTACAATAACTACTGTAAGCCTTCAGTTAATCCAAAATGCTGCAGCAAGAGTACTGACAGGGACTAGAAGAGAGAGCATATTTCTCCTATATTGGCTTCCCTTCATTGGCTCCCATACACAATAAAGTGCCTTGAGACAACTGTTGTGATTTGGCACTGTATAAACCGTGTCCTTTAAAAAAATGTTTCTGTAACTTTAATTACTGTGAATGTAATTACAGCCGGACAATTTTTTTCTATGTATAGTACTAGTATTAACTTGTTGGTAGAAACTGACTAGCATTCAGTAGTAGAATTTACAGCAACCTATTAGGTTCACACAAGGCATAGTAACACAGGTATATAGTGCATTCTTTCTGCTTCTAGTTTAACATTAACTCAGTTTTACTGCGAAACTAGTTATGAATTTCTAACCCTGCGGGAACTACTGTGGTACGCGTCACTGGTGTTAAAACTGTAATAATGTGTGTCAGCTGCGGCTATAAAAATGTGACACAGAAAACTGGAAATGGAAAAAAATAACATCAAGTCAAATATAATAATCTGTGCAGATTCTTTTTATTCCTCTGTCTCTCCCACTCTGTGTACACACACGCTTTATGTATGCTAACGCTTACATACAAATCTTTTAGAAAGCATGCGGTCCTGTGTGGTCACTTATCAACTGCATAACAAGGCCTGTCCTGGCCACTCATTATCTATTAGCAGCAATAAAACAGGCACACCTAGAGCTACCAGGGGCAAAAGGTTAAACCATGAAAACACTCTTCATTTGAAAAAGCACACAAACGAGTGCCAACACACCCAGGCGATAAATGAGGCCGATGCACAGGACTCACCTGATTGGCTTAGTTTGGCGAGTGATGTCATCCCCTAGGTGGGTCACACCAGTTTATAATAAAAAGGTACACAGATAAGGGTCAACGGCTGCTCAAGAACGGACAAATACGTGGTGCAGAAAGTCCCTGGAGGAAGTACACTGAGTGGATTCAGCAGGAACTACAGTGGCTACAGCTTCAGAAAAGGGCGTACCTTTTGGAGAGAGGTGCAGAAAAGAGGAAATTAAAGGACCAAATAACAAAGGCTTGAGATAGTCACTGAAGCAAACACAAGGAAAAAGAACTTGAGAAAATAAGAAGGGAGAAAAAACTTTATCTTGTCTTGAAACACAGGGAGAGAAAATATAAAAAAGGACTGCGTGGTTGCACCATGGCATCTTTTGGACTTGAGCTGGCCGGCATCACCCTGGCAGTGTTGGGGTGGGCTCTCACTGTGACCAGCTGTGCCCTTCCAATGTGGAGGGTCTCGGCCTTTATTGGCGCCAACATCGTCACTGCTCAGGTGTACTGGGAGGGTCTGTGGATGAGCTGTGTGGTCCAGAGCACGGGCCAGATGCAATGTAAAATCTACGACTCGATGCTGGCTTTACCTCAGGACCTCCAGGCTGCCAGGGCACTCACAGTTGTTGCCATCCTAGTGGGGTTGATTGCTCTCCTCATTGCCATGGTGGGAGCCAAGTGCACCAACTGCATCGAGGAGGATGGGGTTAAAGCCAAGGTGATGATCTCTTCTGGAGTGGCGTTCATCATAGCAGGTCTGGCTCAACTAGTGCCTGTTTCCTGGTCAGCAAACACCATTGTTGTCGAGTTCTACAGTCCAATCGTCCCTGCTGGGCAGAAGATGGAGATCGGGGCATCACTGTATGTGGGATGGGCTGCCTCAGCCCTGCTGGTCACTGGGGGAGCTATCCTCTGCTGCAGTTGCCCTCCAAAGGAAGACAAACCACTGAAGTATAACATACAGCCCCAGAGTCGTGCAGCGTACTCAGCCGCTCCGATGTCGGCAGCTCAAAGCTCCTATACTAGAAGGGACTATGTGTGAGTGGAAAAGGACAAAAACTAAAGAGGATTGGAGGGGATTGCATGCTATTTTTATAAAAATGTAGTTAAACAGATACAAATGTTATGGTGTACGGAAATCTATCAATATTTAGGATGACCAGAATGTCACTGAATTTGCAGTTTCTTTAGGACAATGTTTACATATTCTCTATATTTAGTCTAACTGAGCAGATTGAAATTGTGATCATGATCAGTTATGGCAAACGATGTGATTCTTTGTCACAGCACTGTGAAGAAACATTTGCAGAGAAAAAAATATTATATATATTTATTCATAATATAACATTCATAGCATTAGTGTCTGTTGTGGACGGTCGTTATTCTAATGATCAATGTACTGATGACTTTGTATATACAAACTATCATAGATTCAAAGCAGACAGACACCGTAACTGGAATAAGTTTCATGTGATGACTTTTTGGACGTTCGTACAAAACAGACATGCTGAGTCACAGATGTGAAACAGCATGCAGCTGAGCAAAGTGGAGCTCACCCTCGGCTTCAAACGAAGGTCAAAAGGGTGGCAAATGTATGATTTATTAGAATGATACGTAAGTAATTTTATTTGTTCATTCTTCCGTATTTTATCATTTGATGTTTCTGTATTCCTACCGTTTTTAAATCTGACAAACTTTCATGTATTGTACTTTACTTAATGTCCTTCATTTCTACGTATTCACCTTTGTGTGTTTGACAAAAAAATCTTAATATTATCTGATTTTTGATACAACTTTTATAATGCATTTGACTCCATAAATACAAATATTTTATTTTGGAATCTGACTTGATTAAAATACTTTAGGTTAATAAAGTAATTACAAGTAACTACTGGTTTAACATTGATTGACTGTTTAATGTTCTACAAGAGTGCATGTAAACAGGTTTCTAAATTCTGTAGAAAGAAGAAGAAACTAAGAGTAATACGTAATCCACTGTACAACATTTTAACAACATTTTTTTAAGTAAAGCACAACAGGTCACATAAATAAATGTACCAAGTTCATTACACATTCATCAGAGTCTCTTCTGAAACTCACGCGTGAAATCTGATGTCATTTGGGAAAATGTCCCTTCTGTTTATTGTCTGATTCAGTGCCTTCACAGATACCAACTTTTTCCTGGTTTGAATAGTCAAATTATCCTGACCTTTAGCATGTGAGCAGCCACCCTGTGCTGCGCCATTACAGCACATGACTGACTCCGCTCATCAGTACACTGAGTAAACTTTCAACAACCAGGAAAGGCTTTTATTGAAACTACTGAAACTCCTTGGTAATGAGACATAAAGGCCATAGATAAAGAAATCTATTCCCATTAATAAGTATTAAAGAAAATACAGACGTTAATCTGAATCTGCAAACTTGTGAGGAGAGTAAATGTGGTTCATCTAAGGTGTAATGCAGTAATAGAAACACCATCAGCATGTATTCTCCTATTTGTTTGGTGGAGATCTTTATCTTAAATTACTGGGGGGGGGAACAGCTGCTGTTCTGCTTATGCTAATGCGTTTGTTTTTGGTAACACAGGTGTTAGCTGTTGTAATAGCAGTTGTCATTCATGAAAAGATGATGTAATACATAAACATCTGATCCTGATGTTCATGATGAAACTGCAAACAGGCTCCCTTATTTTTTTCAGTCTTGTTTTTATATGTTTGAGCCCTATTTTGGTTTATGACAGCACATTGTTGACATGCAGTTGTGTGTACAGCAGAAACGTTAAGTCACTAAGCTTGTTATCGTGAGCTGTGCATTTGAAAGAAAAGTTTTAGTTTCCATAACCAGCAGAAATTATTATGTGAACTGTGTTTTACATATGTAATAAAATCTCTCTTTTTACAGGTTATTAGAAAATCATTACCAAAAATTTTAAAATTCTTAAAAAAATATAATGAGTCTACTTCCCTAACATGCATTAAAACCCATATAGATCACATTACAGCACATAGTTCCACTCAAAAGTTTGGGGTCAGCTAAAAGTTCAATCATAGGGGGGTTCATTTCATTATCGTTTTTTGTTTTTAAATAATACTTTTTCAGAACTCATTCTATAAATTGTTTGCTGAATTACAAAGTGATAGGGAGCTTTTGTAGCTCGCTTTTTCTTGAGTGGACATGTGTGTGTTTCAGGAAAATGATTGGTCAGAGTCTAACCGATACTGAGAAGGTCACGCTCTCTCTGTATGCTTAGGGTGTCAGACAACAGCACTGTTATGTTTTCTCTCTCTTCATATTTGTTCTTGATGCAGTTATTCCGGTTCTCAGAAGAGCTCTGGGATTGTTTTCCAGACACTAAATCCTGACTGTCGTTAAAAGTCTGAATGAATGAAACCAAAATAATTACCTGAGGGTTATTTTTCACCATGGTTAAGTTTCTGATTCACAACAAAGCTTTTGAAGTAGCCTGAGGTCAAAGGATTTTATTTTTTTTGCCCCGTAATGTTAATCACTTAATGCAAAGTAGCATTTACAGTTAGCCAGTAACTTTTTTATGCTCTTTTTTTTCATTCATTCATATGCAGTGAATTAGAAGGTCAAGTACCTCGTTTTGGTGTCTTCTTCATTATTACTTTGTACAGTCACAGTTTAATCACACACATCAAGTCAAGTCAGGAGGCTTTATTGTCATTCCAACCATGTGCAGCCGTACAATACACAGTGAAACGAGACAACGTTCCTACACGACCATGGTGCTACATATAACATATAAAAGACAATCAACACAGGAGTAGATTAAGTGCAAGTGTGCCAAAATTGCAACAAAACAGAAAAAAAGAAAACAAAGGCAGTGTAACATCAGACAGAACAGAACGATGCAGACACAAGATAGTGCTATAGAAATGTGCAACAACGACAGTGGTTTGTACAAAATACTGAGCATTTTGCAACAGTAACTTGATGTATGAAGTGTGATGTGTTTGTGGATAAGATTGTGCAGATAAGTGCTTGGTAGGGACGTGTATGAAGGGATGTGTGAGTCCACCCACGTGATGGTGAAATCGGTTCCTGGGAGAAAACAGGTGACATGTTTTACATAGTTCTTGGAATTTAAGAGAGAACTACCTTTGCCCATCCCCCACAAACCACAGCCACACCTTGCCTCCATCACATCACTGCTCTCTTGCTCTGCCTCAAGCTCCCCTCCTCCACTGTATGTTCACATGTGTGTATTTGTTCTGTGTGTATGTGAAGACAGCCTCTCGCTGACATCAACACCAGAGGACTCCTCCTTGTTCTCTCGAGGTATAAAGATATCTTGTTTCTGTAGCAGCATCCTAAAGCTACGCCACACCCTCATACAGCTGCTCACACTTCAACAAGCACCTGACAGTAAAGCAGAATCCTTTTCACCAAAGACTCACCTGAGGGACTCAGTTTGTTGGACACTGTGGACTCGCTTTTTGGATTTTGTTCTGTCACCACACACGAGAGCGAACATGTCGATGGGTATGGAGATCGTGGGCATTGCCTTTGGAGTCATTGGTTTTCTTATAGCCATATTATCATGTGCCCTACCAATGTGGAGGGTGACTGCCTTCATCGGCGCTAACATCGTCACTGCTCAGATCATCCAGGAGGGTTTGTGGATGAGCTGTGTTGTCCAGAGCACAGGTCAGATGCAGTGCAAGGTCTACGACTCGCTGCTGGCCTTGTCTCAGGAACTGCAGGCATCCAGAGCAATGATGGTTGTTGCCATTATACTCGGAGTGCTGGGCGTCATGATCTCCATAGTCGGCGCCAAGTGCACCAACTGCATTGAAGAGGAAGGAAGCAAAGCCAAAGTGATGATCATCGCTGGTGTCTTCTTCATCCTCAGTGGCCTCTTGGTTCTCATCCCTGTTTCTTGGACTGCCAATGTTATCATCATGAATTTCTACAACCCTACTCTGCTCACGTCTCAGAAGATGGAGCTAGGGGCGTCACTCTACATAGGCTGGGCTGCAGCCGGACTGTTTCTGATCGGAGGGGCAATGTTGTGCACTAGCTGCCCACCGAAAGAAAAGAAATATCTGCCACCCAGGATGGGGTACTCGGCCCCACGCAGCATTAGTGCAGGTGGAGGATATGACAAGAAAGACTACGTCTGAATTAATGCTGAAGGATGAAAGGAAAATTATTTTTGTGTGTGAGTTTTTGTCTGTATGCATGTTACTTTTTTTTACCGGAAACCACAGCGTGAATCCGACTGAAAGACTCCGAGATGAAGATGCTATAGAAATATTAATCTTCTGCTTTGCTTTTAGCTGATATGTTTATTCACATCCTTTTGTTTTGCTTAAAAAAAAAGACTTAGATTTTTCAGTGCTTGAACATGGGAGCTTAAACAAATAACTTTATTCTTTTAAGATTTTTAACTGGGAAAATTTCTTGGCATTATGTGAATTTGAAAACACCTGTGTGTCGTCCTCTTATTAGCTCTTGGCTGGTTGCGTGGTGTTGTGTTTCACTGAAACCTGCTGTTAAAATGTGATCTGTCATTTCACTGACAATGACCAGGAAGAGTCAGCTCTCATTTTACATGCATTTGGTTGGTGTGATTGTTCAGTGTGTGCGTGTGTTTTGCATGACCTGTAATATTTGCTTAAGAGAGTTTCTGCTGAGACTGAAACTACAGATAGATCCAATACTGCCCCAGGTGAAACTTTGTCTTCCTTTTCACAGTTTCACTGTGTGTGCAAATAGAAAAGAGTTTTTCATGTAAGGATAACTTTATTTCAAATGTCTGTATATTCATGTGTTTAAAATTTATTTCAAAATGTTCAAATATTCAAATATGTTCTACACTATGCTCCTTTCTTTTATTTTTTTATTTTCTGGAAGTTGACAATGAGCGTTAGTCACAATTTTTTCTCAATGATTTTTTAAAGTTTTTGAATAGATTATAACCCATGTCTGGTCCATTTTTTTGTTAAGCATATAACCAAGGACCTCTTTAGTGTATATTTATGTGTCCGTGATGCTCCAAGGATCCCATGTTTAGACCCTTTTAAAAAGTATGTAACCAAGATCCTCTTAGTATATTTATGTTTGTAACACCACAGCAGTTTGCAAAGTACATATGTGTTTGTATTTCACAGATACTGGTTGGTTTTCTTTGTGTATTTGCTTGGTTGGTTTGTGCAGTTCGTGTGTGTGTGTGTGTGTGTGTGTGTGTGTGTGTGTGTGTGTGTGTGTGTGTGTGTGTGTGTGTGTGTGTGTGTGTGTAAGTTTATAATTTCTTCATTTCTTAAGTGAGTGAAATTGTTCAAATATGTGTCTATGCTTAATTTGCTGTTCTATATTGCCATTGTAAATTCAAATGTGTTGAAAATTAACAAAATAATAGTAATACTACTGCTAATAATAATAGTTTTAATAAAATTCTTCTTAGCTAAAGCAACAACCTTGACTCCTTTATTTAAAAAAAAAATATATATATATATACATAGGTGTGTATATATATATATATATATATATATATATATATATATATATATATATATATATATATATATATATATATATATATATATAAAAATTCCCCACTCGCCCCTGCGGGCGGTCAATCCTTCAAGCTCGGGTCCTCTACCAGAGGCCTGGGAGCTTGAGGGTCCTGGGCAGTATCTTAGCTGTTCTCAGGACTGCGCTCTTCTGGACAGAGATCTCTGCTGTTGTTCCTGGGATCTGCTGGAGCCACTCGCCTAGCTTGGGAGTCACTGCACCTAGTGCTCCGATTACCACTGGGACCACCGCCACCTTCACCCTCCACATCTTCTCGAGCTCTTCTCTGAGCCCTTGGTATTTCTCGAGCTGCTCGTGTTCCTTCTTACTAATGTTGCTGTCATTCGGAACCGCTACATCAATCACTGCGGCCGTCTTCTCATGTTTGTCTATCACCACTATGTTCGGTTGGTAAGCCACCACCATTTTGTCCGTCTGTCTTAGCTCGGTCATTCTGGTTGCAGCTTTCCTAGCGGCCTCTTCATGGTTCCCATTCGCCTGTGGGATCCCCAGGTACTTGTAACTGTCCTCTATGTCTGCAATGTTGCCTTCTGGTAGTTTGATCCCCTCAGTTCTGACTACCTTCCCTCTCTTTGTTGCCATCCGACTACACTTCTCCAGCCCGAACGACATTCTGATGTCATTGCTGTATATCCTGGTGGTGTGGATCAGTGAATCGATGTATCACTCTTGGCATACAGCTTCATGTCATCCATGTACAGGAGGTGGCTGACAACTGCTCCATTCCGTAGTCGGTATCCATAGCCAGTCTTGTCAATTATCTCACTGAGGGGGTTCAGGCCTATGCAGAACAGCCATCTCTCCAGCGCGGGTCCAGACCCGCCTCGTGTTCCCAGGAGGCAACAAGCATCGAAGCCGTTGGAAGGGGAGGGGGGATGTGTGAATGCTTATCAGTGTAAGTGTGTGTGTGTGTGTGTGTGTGTGTCCAGAGTTCAGCTGAGACAGTGTCCTTCGCCCTACCAGGCTAAGTAAACAGTCTTCCAGCCAACCCAGGTGGCCTTGCATAGAGTGGGAAGAAAAAACACAGTCGTTATCAGGGTGTTGTTGTTCGGCTCCAGCCTTGAGCCCACAGCTTGCGCCGAAGGGATAGCCGCAATAAAATGGTGATTTTTCTTTTGTGCGAAAAACTCATGAGAATTTCAAAGCTGCTCTTTAACACGCCGACACCGACACTGGTCTCTCAATCTCCCGTTGGAGAGCCGCGAGTGTTGTCATTCTTGTGCTCAGAGAGCCGATTCTGAGAACTCCCGACTGCAGTGAGCTGCTCCACGATGTAATCCAACTTTCTCTCAGAGATGTTATTCTGAGTGGACTTCTCCTTGATGTAATCCAATGTACGCTCAGAGGTCTTATTCTGAGTATTCATGGCAGCCTTAAGCTTCTCCAAGATCTAACCATGCTGCACTCAGTGAGCCCATTCTGAGAAGTCGCGCCTCGTCCCATCATTTCAATCCCAGCGGGCAGCCTTGGGGGGGGTTTGAACAGCTGGTTCCACTTTCTTACAGTTTTTCTCAGTCGCTTTGGTGCGTTTCTCAGATCAGAATTGAAATTCTCATAACTATTAGTTCAACCTCCACAACACTCAGTCATTTGTGCACATCATAGTAGCAATTTCTCCTCTCTCTGAACAAACTGCAAATGATTTTGGACATGAATCAGTTGCTTCCATACATTTCCCTGCTGCTTTCTGACATTTCCATTTGCTTATGTCATGTCAGTCAAAAGTAATCATACCTATGGATGCTGAATAGTCGTTCCCAATAAAACTAATAGTCATACATCCATTGCTTGAGTCATCACACACAAAATTGTTGAACTAGTTATCACATGCCAAATATTGGCCATCTGTCAAGCAAATCCTATACCTTTCTGTATCATTGTTCCTGGAAATGTCTCCGAAATTGAACAATTGATCTCGGGTGAATTACAGCTGTCACTCATGAGGAGGCGTGTGAAAGTTTAGTTGTAACCAATGACAAACAACTTGTTCACTGTCAATTATGGATGAATCCTGTGAATCCCCAATTGGCAAGCATATATAAACTGCGCAGGAGCTAGTGTGTACCATTTCTACACTTCTGTGACACAAAATGGAAGGTCAGCACCGTGGAAGAGGGGTGAGGATGCGGGGAGGAAGGGGAAGGGGAAGAGGGAGAAGAGGCAGATATAGGCGGATTCCTAATGAAATAAGGGCTACAATTGTGGACCATGTTGTCAATCACGGCCTCACCATGGAGGAGGCTGGTCGAAGGGTGCAACCCAATATTGGAAGAACTACTGTCAGTTCAATCATTCAAACATTCCGTAGGGAAAACAGGTATGCAAACAGTAATACACTGTACTGTACTGTGCCATCTCAGACACATCACATGTTACTGTACTGTATTTGCAATTTCACAAAAAGTTCACTCTGCACCACATAGGATTGTAAGACAACCTCGCGGAGGCGGAAGAGGGCCCCTTTTTACCCCACAGCAAGAAGAAGCCATTTGTGCAATGGTCATTCCAAACAATGCAATAAAGCTGAGAGACATACAAAGCGCTGTCATAGAGAATTACACGGTATTTGGCCATATTGAATCTGTTTCAATTTCAACAATTGACAGAGTACTCAAGAAAAATGAAATCCACATGAGCAAATGGCCCTGCTAGCAGCCATGGATGCAGCATGTGACGACATCACAGCAGGGTCCTGCAGAGGATGGATTCGCCACTCCAGGAGATACTTTCCTCGCTGCATTGCGAGGGATAACATCTGTTGTGATGTAGATGAAAATATGTGGCCAGACAGACAGGAACGTCTGGATGTGCCAGAATGATTTACTGTACTGTTACATGTGCTGTTTATTGTTCACATTAGTGCACAGCTCTACTAAATGGGTGATTTTATGTTTACATGTATTCTACAGTGCACAAGTGACTGTAGCATATTTTTCTTTTGCACAATTCTGTAGGATTACAAACACTTCTACGCAATGGAAATGTGAAACGTACGTATTCAGTGTCTCAGTTACTCCCAAGACTCCCATAACATCTACAGTGACTTTACTGCACATTTCAGATGGCTGTACAGGTAGGCCATAGTGCTGTTGTCAGCATTTTCAGGTGTCACCAATTGTTTTTGCAATGGGAAACACTGAAATTATAAACTGTCATAGTGGAAACATGACAATGCCATTTGACTATCTTGTTCATAAAGATGGTGTCAAGACTTTTCATTTTGATGGCACTGACAGTTTCATTGACATGGATACTTGCTTTTGAGGTATGGATAATCAATTCTGTGCATGTGACGTGCTTTTGCAGGCTATCCACTAGGTTTTGCAGTTTGCACTAATTGTTTTGGGAAATGCACTAACTGCTGTGCAAATGTTAATGGTGTTCTGAGAAACGCACCAAAGCGACTGAGAAAAACTGTAATTCTCCGATAAGCCAGGGCCAAGCCAGCTCCAATCAGCAAGAACCCTGTTATCATGGTTCCGAATAGTTCCGACAATATCTTCAGCGTCCTCGATCGACAGTCCCGCCAGGCACACGATCCTCCATTTCTGCCACCCGTCCATCGTGTATCCGGCAGGGAAAGTACCTCCAGGACACTCAGGCTCACCCGAGCCCAGACGTCTCATTGAGGGTGTCAATAGCATTCAAAGACCAGTTGATCAAATCCATAATTCTGTTTAGGTTTTAGAGAACAGACTGTGAGAGAGTGTTCCAGGGAAAGTAATACACACGAGACAAGACAAGGACACAAGAGGCTAAGCAGGGAAGATAAGGGGAAGGAGGAGAGGAGAAAAGTGTGACCGCCTTCACCGAGAGCCAAACGAGAAAATTTTTTTTAAAAACTCTCATGTATTGACCCATGTGCCTGTTTATCTTAGCCGCTATGCTGCCTGACAGGAGCTTCCACGTGGTGCTGAGGCAGGTTATTGGTCGGTAGTTGGAGGGGACCGGTCCCTTCTGCGGGTCCTTGAGGATCACAACTGTCCGGCCTTCGGTTAGCCATTCCGGGTGTCTCTGGTTCATTTGTGCTGCCAGGTGCTCGTGGATATATATATAGATATATCTATATATCTATATATCGATAGATAGATAGATAGATAGATAGATAGATAGATAGATAGATAGATAGATAGATAGATAGATAGATAGATAGATAGATAGATAGATAGATAGATAGATAGATAGATAGATAGATAGATATCACAAAGCATGTGTCACCAAAGCAAATGATGGCTGAAGATCAGGTTTGGCTTCCATTCGGTTACTTTTTGTTTAGCCAGCAGCTGTGTTGGATCTCTCTTTTGGTTTATTGGTAGACCTTTGTAACACTTGGGTGTGGCAGGGTGCAGAGAGGAACAGAAAGACAGAATAAAACACAGGCACCTGGCCTGTGATCTTTACACAGTAGGATATTGGCGCTAACCCTGGTTTTAACTTTTATTTATTTAAAGTAGAACACTGTGATTAGCAGTGGCTGTTCACTCTGTGTAGCATGAAAGAATACACAAAATAAAGTGTCAGTGCAATCAGTGCAATTTCAGCGTTTCTTTGCATTTTAATTTCACATATTGTTTTTCTTTTGTTCAGCGTCAGTAAATGCTGGAGGGTCATTTTTGAGCATCACATCTTTGAATCACTAAGTCATGTTCCATAGTTTTTACACATTCTACATCTGAAATAAAAGGAACAAACGTACTTTAACAGTTTAGGGTTTAATAATTTAATTGTTTAATAATTTAGGATCATTTTAGGACCTTTTGGGTTTTTGGTCATTTGGATATGGTAAAACTGAAACTGTTATTTTTATGTTAAGGTTAAAGGATTAAAGTGAACTGAATCCTGTTTAGAAGATACAATGCCAGTGTTTTA